GCCCCTCCTCTTCCTGCGGCAGTCACCTGGGGGTCTGCAGGGCTGGTCCACTCACATCTTCTCACTCTTCACTTTGACTGCAATTGCCCTATTTTTTTTTTCCCCCTTAATTCTGTAACCCCCGTGGCTGACGGGCTGGGCCTTGGCCAGTGGTGGGTCCATCTTGGAGCTGGTGATGTTGGCTCCATCAGACATGGGGGGAGCTTCTGGCACCTTCTCACAGAAGCCACCCCTGTAGCCTTCCCGCTACTAAAACCTTGCCATGCAAACCCAATACAATAATATACTGTGTAGTGTATGTTTCTACTAATTCTTCAAAAAAGATAATGATAAAAATGTGCTTGCTCAAAAAATGGATAAATGGAAATGGCTTTTTTTCAGGCTGCTATACAACAACTGACCCAGCTTCTATCAGAGGACCTCAGAAAAGAAATCCGTGAACTCTGGGAAGTAAGCTTGCATTCTTTTAATCCTTTGCTAAAATTCAGGATGACCCATTGTCCTCTTCCTGTTTACCTATGGAACTGTGACATCTCTTACTTTGGCCTCAAGCAAGGTAGATTAATTTGCTTGGGAGAGAAAGCTAATGGTATGAGTCAAGGTCACTTTGGAATCTTCTCAAACAGGAAGCCCAAACTTTGGTAAAACAACCAGTTTCTGCCTTTGGCTTCTCAAAGTTCCAGAAGAACCTGTCCAGGGCCTGGTTTGTATAACTGAAGGAAGGGTTTGTCCTCTGTATCCAGCTCTCTTGGATATAAATCTGTTTTTTTAGTACGTTATCTCTTTTGTTCATATCTGGCAGTTTGCAGCTCCATGGTCTTTTAATACAGGAAAAAATAATTATGATGATGGTGCCGTGGAGTATTTTCTGCTTTTTATGCAAATAATAATTTATGTGGCTTCCATTTCTTTATTATACAGCCCATTAGACTGAAATATTTAGTAGTGACTTCTGGTTTAAACTTAAATGTGGTGTACTGACACAGAACAGTGCTTTTCTACAAACAACACAGATTGCTGGCTCGTCTTGGGTACCTTAAATGTTTGTATTGGAAAGTGTCTTCTGTATTTGAAGGTGATTTAACTTTTTGATGTGAATTGATGCTGTTAATTGATAAGGTCTTTTATACTTGCAGACTAGGGATGATTAGATTATTTCCAAACAATCCAAGTTTGTAATTACTGTGCTTTATCTTCACCTGGCGTACAGTCACATGAGGACAAGTGTATCCACAATCTCTTGTTCACATGTTGGTGCAAACAAAGCATTATATATTTCTTGGACTCTGTGACCTGAAACTGTATGCTGATATTCTTACTTCTCCACTTGGACTGTATTTAAATTCCAGATATTTGCAGCCAGTTTCTGCCTTCTCTTACAGCACCCTGTTTGTTTAGGGTTTTTTTCTTGCTATAGTTGTGTGGTGAAACTGGCAATGGGGATGGATTTTCAGTGCTATAATTCAAGTTAAATGGGGTAAACCAGCATACCCACATCTGGAAAATAATGTGTGTGCATTTCTGTAGTGAGCACTGGCTCCTTCTCCCTTGGGAAGCTGTTATAGTTGAGGAAGAAGAGTTTTTGATACATAAGATTAGTCCTGTAGGACTTTTTTTTTGTGTGTGTGCATTTTTTTTTTTCTTTGTCTCAGTCTTCTCTTATGATTGTATAAGAGCTGATCAGTATCCAGTTAGTTCTTCAACGTGTTAGCTTTTTATCATTCTCATTAACCATGATTTAACACATGCACAGTTTTGATCATTTGTTCTTTGTTTCTACCTCCAGGATAATTTATTGGCATTGAGTCTTTAATGCAGAAGTATGAGTGTAACCCACATGGCAGCGAGTGTAACCTAAAAATCTAATATTCCCTCTAGTCTTACTTTAAGTGAAACAACTAGATGCTTCTTAAAAAAGAAAAAAAAAAAAAGGGGGGCAGAAAATAAGAAGGCTCTGATAACTTGGTGTGATACTGTGCTCTCAGCTAGCCAGAGGCATTTCCCTCCGGTTTCTTTTCATGAGTGACGGAAGGTATGGCTCAGAGCTGAAGAGGGGCTGGGAGCAGATCTGGTGACAGTCTTAGCAAGTCCTTCCTGCACTGCTCGCCCTGCGGCTC